TAAGTATTTTTTTGATATATTTTTTTCATTTTAGAGATTATTTTTCAAAAAATGTTTAAGGATTTGATCCTTCAAAATATCAAAGCCTATTGGATTTTTCTTTCTTGTTTCATTGTTTTACCACATTGATCAGTTTTTTAAATAATAAAAATATATCTAACAAGTTTTATAAAATTTAAAAAATTATTTAATATATTTTAAAATATTCAATAATTTATTTGTTTTAATTTTTTTTTCTGAAAACTTAATCACTCCAAATAATAAAACCCATTAAAGTTTATGTAGACTTTTTCTATTATAAAACAAAAATTTAATTAGTACCGGGAGCGGGGTGACCAAATTTTGAATGATCAACAGTATATTATTTATATATGGTGCATATATTTACACAAACGCCTCACGTTTTAGGGTTTGGATTTTTCACATCTTCGTCGATGGCAGAAGTGATGAACATGCCGGTGGATGTGGTCGAGCGTCGCAGCAGCCGAGAGCGCAAAGACGATGACGGCGTCGCCAACGCTAACGCTGATGGCGAAGACAATAACAAGTCCACGGGAAACGAAAATCCCGATGCAACTTCTCCACCACCACCACCACCGCCTCCTTCACGTCGCCATGACCGCGATTCCAGAGAGAGGAGAAATGATGACAGGGACCGGGATGTTGATCGTCCACCTAATCGTCGTTCTGATTACTATGAACATCGTAATCGATCCCCCCCTGTGCCGTCTCATAGAGATTATAAGCGTCGTGCTGCTAGCCCTAGCTCTCCTCCTCCACCTCCGTATCGTGACCGCCGTGGTGGGGGTCACTCCCCTCCTCCCCGTAGGTCACCTCCATTTCCTCCGTTCAAGCGGTCTCGTAGGGATGACGGGGGCTACGATGGTCGCCGTGGAAGTCCTCGTGGAGGTTTTGGACCTGGTGATAGAAGGTTTGTAAATGGTTTTTGTTGTTTTTCTATTTGTTTACGCCATTTCTATGAAAACTGTTAATATGGTATAGATATTATTACCATATATGATACTGATTTTTAGTTGGTCAGTCTGGACTTATGATATCTTTTCAAATGGGTGATTAGGCTTTAGGTTAATTGCGGTTGCGCAATTTTTTTATTATGTTTCCGTAAAAGAGATTTTGTAATATTTGATTGTGTTTGTGTTAGTAGTGCTTTTCCAGGCTGTGCTTATTTTGGGGATATTCTGGCATTGTTATGCATCTATCACTCTTTTCCCCTACATGGATAATCTATAGAGTTTGCAAAGGTTTCTGAAGAGATGCAGCAGTTTGATGCAGCCAGGTTTTCAATGAATTGATTGCGAGTTAGACAGTGAGAGTATTACTCCATCTGTTTCAAATTCTTTGTTGTGAGCGAGAGTGTTGCTCCATCTGTTCCACATACTTTGTTGTGAGCGAGAGTATTGCCCCATCTGTTCCAAATACTTTATTGTGAGCGAGAGTACAACTCCATCTGTTCTAAATACTTGATTCTGAGTGAGCGCATTACTCGATGCATTCTAAATAATTGATTGTGAGTGAGCATTACTCCTTCCATTCTAAATTACAGGAGCACTTTCCTGGTTCCATCATTTTTAGTACATAGGAAAGTGCTTTTATAATTTGGAAGGAGGAGTATTAATTGAAGGTGAGACTAGAAGCTGAAAATGGAGGCACTGATGATTATAGAAAAAGGGAGACGGGTCTTCACTCGAGACAAAGCGGATGGCCCAGTGTTGTGTTTTTGATTGAATTGAATTTGGCTCCAATTCTAAGTTATGGAATGGCATGTTTGGTATCCTACATTCCTGACCAATTACAAAATCCTTAAACCACCAGATAATTAAATCTTAGTGGCTCTAAGCCTCTAAGATTTCTTATATTTAGGAGATGTTAAAGGGGGATTTTGCCATGCCACCTCACTGAAGTGATGATATGCGGTGTTTCTCCTAGAGACCACTTAAGAGAACAGATTGTGATGCATTTTGATATTACATCCTGAATGGTATTCAGTATTAATAATCTTGTACATTATTTTTCCTTCTGCCGTCAGATTTACATTATTTGTGATTACGTGTATATATGTCACTGATATTATGTGATGCCTAATCTGAAACAAGTATTTTTGTGCCTTTATGCTTTACACTGCTGCTTCCAACCTTGGGAGGTTGAATTGAATATTTTAGGGTATAGGGTTTAGGGCCAAAAGGACAAATTGTTCTTTTCTTCAATCATATAATTCCACACCTGTTTGGTGACCCAGCATAAATTCTGTATAGCTTAAGTGCTGGATTTTGAGTGGCAAGTCACCATGGTTGCTACAGAAAAGCGTAAATTAGCAGTTGATTGAAAAATATCAAATCAAGATGATTTCAAATTGCACAACTCTTATATTGTTGTCAGGAATGGGAGTGTCTTCTATGATCTATCAGCTAGAATTAAGAAATACCGAAATAATATTTATTACGTTAATTGGAGAATGTTATGTCATTCTAATATACACATGAACCCAAAGGTGTCAAAGCAACTTTATTTCATGCCGTCATAATTACTTGTTGACTTGCACAACTCTCATGAAGTCTGGCTTTGGCTTTTAGAACATTTAACAATTGTCTATGACTCTACTTAGGTAGTGATGCCTATTTAATTTTCTGTCAATGGGTTAGAGCACATCCTACAGATAGAGTTAATACATATTTCAACTATAGTGAGTCAGTGATACAAGTATTTTTTTGAAGTAGGTTATGGTGATCATTTGATCAATAGTAAACTTATTTTCTTAATAAGATTGTGGGGTCAAACAGATTTTCTGTGGGCTGTAGCAAGTGTCAGATATATTTGATTATAGAGCTATGTATTTGAGTTTGCTGGTGGTGAAAATTAGTTGTAAGGTACAGTTGCTTTCAGTGACTTGTGGCATCTTATGAATCAAACTTGTTCAGGACACAACATTAGTACAAATTTGGTCGCTCGTGAAATTCATTTGCATGAAACGAAATATAGGGAGCCTTTCCTTATAAGCATAAAGGCACACATAATATCTACATATGTTTGATATATCAGCGGTTATAGTTGATTTCATTAAATGATATCTGAAACTCGACTTGCTAGGTTCGTCATTTCTATTTGCTTATTATCTTGTGGTGGATAATGGCTCATGTTTTAGTAAACCTTGTTCACTCGGCGCACTCTCCCTTTAAATCAAGGTTTGGTGATCAGCCTGTTTACATCGTGAAGAGAAAACTGAAGAATTTAGCCTGATCAGTAGCATGTTGAGCTAGATGTAAAGAAGTAAACTAATTTGCAGATCTTGCAACATGTGACATCCAACTATTTGATCCCTGAAGTGCATCATGTGAAAAATAATATACAAATTTTGTAATACGCCACAGCCGACTATTTGGGAAGTACACCATATGATTAAATAGCTAAGCTCTTTTATGTTGGAAGGTTGAAACTATCCAGTTAACATGTTGTCCTAAGATAATTTTCTAATATCAAGATGGTTATGCTGGTAATAATTGCATACAAGTGTATGTATACACTATGGAGCAATTTCATTTGTAATTTTTTAGCTGTAAGCCATTAGAAAGAAGACCAACATGAGAAGCTAGATGGAGGTGAAATTTAAGCCAAATGTGCCCATATTTGGTCAATGTTGATTTCTGAGGAATCTTTTGTAAGTGCCTAGTTGTATTATTATTTTTATATACAATTGAACACTGGTTTTATTTTTGTTTGTTGACTCTGCTTGTGTAGACAAAGAAGTGTGTTTATTACTCGTCTTACCTCTTGTCACGTTTGCCTAAGCTCTATCCCTTGAACCGAATTGAGTGTTAATCCTAGGATTTTACTGCATCTCTTATTTTTCTTTAATGCAGAATGCCAAGTTTTTTCTTCTGCACTTCCTTCTTACTACTTGAATTTCTCATTTTTCATTTGGCTTTTGTACTGCTCTCTTTCTCCATGAAGTGTTTGTATCTTTTCTTCTCTTTTTTGGCCTTTGATCGATGGGGCTTTAGGATGTAGGTGTCGACGTTGTCCTAAACATGTAGAATTGAAGGTTGGTTCTTATGTTGACTTCTATGCTGTTAGTTGCAGCGCTATTGCGCTGCAATAGCGGCGCAATTGACCGATATTTGAGGTGACATTGCGGACCGATATTCCGATATTTTAGCTTGGGCCTCTTTAGAACTATGTTGACTCGGATGCTGAACCTATGCTTGCGATTAGCTCGTTTATGAACACTTTTCTCATTTTGTTTTGTGAAACTTGTTTAAGTTAATGTTTTGATGTTGAAACTATGTTTTTAATTAATGCATATGATATGTTTATGTATGCACACACACACATATATATGTATTATAATTCTAAGAAATATTATTTGAATCACTATTTTTGCCGCTATTTCAAATATCGGTCCTGACCGCAATTTTGTATTTTTACCGCTATAACAACATAGGTTGACACATGTCCTATTTTTATGTCTTATTGTTCCTATTGCGTAAACCTCCCAGTGCCCACTATCTGTCCTTAGAAGTTTATATACGGACCCTATAATTTATTCTATATGAAATGAAATCTAAGAAATTGGAGAAAAAGGAGGAGAATATGTCATTGTTAAATAAGAGGATTTGTGTGTCATATAGCTGTGGGATATGGCCTATGGCCTACTTCACTCTTAGAAGTTGCTGCTTTGTGCTGTTAGAATAGATGTCTCTTTATTTTCAATTTTTTGTGTTCAATGTGTTGTAATAGCTTCACTGTTCTTGCTGGTCAGAAGATCTACATGATTTTTTACTCCTCACGATCTGTGCTTTCACATCGAGAATTATTTGCAGCTAACAATAATATACACCTATTAGAGGTATTTTCTGCTGTTTACAAAATAAATTATGTTTTCTTGTGCGATGGAAGCGGTCATACCAAGCCTTTTTGCATCTTTTTTAAATTGGTGTTATGTGCAATTTCTCAATAGATTGTAAGGGTAACATGTTTACTTGGCGATGCCATGAAGGGATTGGACAAAAAGAAATTTGTTAATAAATACATTTGCAATGTTTTTTTTGGGGGGGGGGGGTTACTGTTTTTCTGTAAAAGCAATACTCCCTATATGTTTACTTTTGTTCATGTCAACAGTTTTTGTGCAATAAAGATTGAAGCAAAATTCTGTAGAATCCCTCATAGGGGCACATGGCTTCACACACTAAGTGCATTATCCCAAGTTTGACTCTATCTGTATTCATCTGGTGGTCAACTACCATAATCCATTTAACTACCTTCATTAAGCCGGCGATATGCGGAGGTCTGATCTGCTTGTATGGTTAGGCACTAGTTTAGTTTCTTGCAGGATGTCCTTATTTATCCAGTTTTTGAGGAAAACCGTTTGCAGCAAATAAAGACCATATTTTCTGTAGAATTTTCATGATGCAAAAAAGGATTCGTAAGGTTTATTTCATCCATTCATAGTGGAGAAGGTTGTTGCAATGCAATGAAGTATATGTTTGGTTTCATCTGTCAACTAGCTCGTATCATAGATGCTTAGTCCATTTGTACATACTTTTATGAATTATGAGGAATCATCATATTGGGTAGTGGGGACCACAATTAGGAGATACATCAATCGGGATTTTGAGCCCCTAATGTGGACATGGTTGTGTATGAATCTACCATTCAATATATTCCAACTTTCTTCCCTCTTCTTCTTACCGTTGGGACAGAGCTGATCCCATTTCTAGTATGCAAACGTGTCTTTTTGGAGTTCATTCTCTAATTACTGTGGTGTTGTTTTGTTCAAGATCGTTGTTTGGTTTTCATAATGTCGTTTATTATTTATACAGGTTTGGATATGATTATCCTGGTGGCTATGAACGTGATCTGGGTGGCCGACCTGGCTATCCTGATGATAGGCCTCGTGGTAGATATGCTGGGCGCCAATCTGGTGGGTACCAAGGTGGCCCATCTGGTAAGCACCAGTTTCTTCTATCAACTCCTACCCTTTTAGAATCATTGAAATATAACTAAGTTAATGTTTTTCCATCAGTTAATATATTGTTTGTTCTCGAAGTTGTTTGTTATGTGTTCAGCAGTAGTATGCTAATATGTCAATTCGTCTTTAAGGAACAAGGTAGATTCCTTTGAGAAGTTTTTGTATTTGCTTCTGTTCGACCAGATATTAAAAGATTGTGTGCAGATCAAGGAGAAGATGCCGTAGGTTACATCCTAGAGAGGCTTTATACATGCTTTTGTGGTCCATTATATATCAAAAAGTTATGTTATCTTTCTGTAGGCACAATCTGGTTTATCAGAGTTGCTTTTCTAGTAGGCAATGCATCTCAGTTGCTAAAAGAAGTTAACATTGTGATATTTAATATTTATCCAGTATTTAGTAGATGAGAATTATTCCTTCTAAAAGACTAAAACGATATATTGGAGTGTGGTTTTTGATGGTAAGCAACAGAAGAAATCTCTAATGGAAAGTGTAGTTTGGACTTTAGATGTGTGTTGGCTCCTTTTCAGATGTTTTTCACATTAAATGGTTACCATCTGTGATAAATTTTGGAAGTTGTGGGCTTGAGAAGGATTGCTTCATATCTCATTGTCACATAGCAGGCACTCCAGGTTGTTACTCTTTTTAGACGATGCAGGCATAATGTGTGTCCTTAGGTTAAATAATATCCTGAAGGAAGTTATAGTTTGATTTCCAATTTGAAATTGTTTGTAAAACCATTTAGTGATGGTTTGATTGCCAAATCTATTGTTTCATGCTAGTTTTTTCTGTACTTGTTGGCGACAAAAACCTTGATGCTCTGTTTTTAGTAGGTAGGAACCACCTCAAATGCTGTATAATGTCATTAGAAAATTGAGCATTTTTCTTTTTCACCTTTTGTGGTTTGTCCCACTTTTAACTGTGCTCTTGACGCATGAGTCATGGTTTCAATTTAAAGTGTTCAACACCAGTTTCACCTGTCTGGAATTTTTTATGTGAAAATGTATTATGGAGTTTATGGCAATAGCCAACCTGCAATAGAAAGGAGGTGGGGGTGGGTTTGGTTACGTAGATACAATGAATAGGAATCTCAACTTTGGAATGAAGAGAAATTCATAGGAATCAACATAATTAGGAATAGGCGTTTTATAATTGAGGGTTTAAGGCATTTTGGTTTATCTAGGAATTTTATTTTGTTATCAACGACATAGAATGTTTAGGAAATAGCATACTCGGAATTTTATTTTACTGCTTCTAGTCGACCATTTAATGGGTATGAATCAACAGAATTGGGAATTGCTTTTAATAATGAGGGTTTAAGGTAAAGAATTGGGTTGCGGTGAGGATGGAAGTTATGGTGAGAAGGGATCTCCACCCTTGGATCAATGATCAATCCTAATTGAAGATTAACACTAAAGAGATGCAACGAGATGCACCAGATCAATTCCCATGAGAAGCGCAATTCATGGGGTGGGGGGGTGAGATTAAAAAAGTGATCAAGGGTCTAGATCCCTTATGTTTCTCAACTTAACTCCTATTCTCACACGATCCTTCGTCTTAAGGTAAATAGGTCTATCTAGGGTATTGTATTATTAACAAGAACGATATCATAGTATATTTAGGGAATATCATACTGGAGTTTACTGTATCGAGTCATTCATGAACTTTTTTAGGTATAGTGCATACTGTCATCTCAAATGAGATGTTTGATAAAGTTATAGGTTTTATCTGGTATATGTTTTAAATGCTTTATTTCTATATAGATACAACAAGAAATTTTATCAGATAGCCTCATTGCACTTATTGTTACCTACATGCTCTGTCTGCTCTTTCTATCATCTTTCATTGTGATAGGTACTTCACTCACCTTTACTATAGATATGTTAACATTACATCAAGATATTAATAATCTTTCATATTATCTTTACTTTTTATGGAGTTGTTAGTTTAATAAATGTATGCCCAGAAGTTAATGTTGTATGGCATGCAACATATGTAATAGCTTCAGGTTTATCTTCTTCTGCAGACTGGGAACCAGCTCGTGGAAGTTACAATGATCATGCAAGTATGCATAGGTGAGCAATGTCAAGCTATTATGGATGTGATCCCTTAGTTGTCTAATTTGGAGCTTTGTTGCTTTATTATTTGTTATAACCAATAGTATTCAAGGGTTGAGTCCTAATTTAGTTGTGTTTTACGAGATACTATACCATGGGTGTGAAGAAAGATATGGTCTATGTCATATCAGACATCAACATCACAAGGCCACTTTCTGGCACTTATTTTCACATTTTTTATCATGCCAGACCATATAGTGAAGTGTTTGGTATTGACTCAACCTCCGACTAGTCTGTGAACGGCTTTAGTTGGACTCTGGGCCTCACCATCTTTAGTCGTAGATATACGATCTTTTTTTCTATTAAGATTCTTATGTGCTAGAAGCTGAGAATAGAATGTGAACGGTAGAGGCAGTGTCTCTAGGGGACAAGCTGTGTGAAATGGTAACTAGTGAGTGACAGACGGAAGCAATTTACATAATGTTGAGATAAACTACTACAGTTTTAGTTTGTTTGAAGATGTTTAAATGCTGAAATGGGACACATACTAGTACAATTTTTTAGTCCACATGTAGCAGTTGCACTTAGACACCCTGTATTGATGCCTTCTGACAAGATACTTAAGAAGCATCATCCCTCTTTGAACTCTTGGGTGCCTTAGGGTGTGGAAGGTTGTGGCACCATTTCCTTCTCAAACTGCATCAAGTGATGCTATTATTTCTACAATATTAAATGGAAGTTGTGAAAAGGCTCCTTGAATTTCTAGCCATCAGTTGGCGGGGTGCATGATCTGGGATGCTGTAGAGATAATGTTGGTCTACTTTTTTAAACGGGGAAGATGGAAGTTCATTAGTTACCATTTTAGATATTATACCCAAAGTTTTTATTCAAAATTTAAACATGTCTTGAGCTGACTGGAGATAGAAATGAGATGACAGATACAACAGAGAGGGGAGGTGACAATATGTTTCTGTTTGGTAGTTGGTCAACTACTTATGATCATCAATTTATTTTTCCAAACAAGTTGGAGATATGCTTTAATAGTGTATCATCAATCGATTTACTAACAGAAAAAATGTCATATTTCCCTTGTTTGATGTCTTAAGCGTATTTGAATTATGATCTTAGCAGGTGACATTATATATTTTTGGAAGAATTGACAAAGGACGACCTAAATTATTATATATTTTTGGAAGAATTGACAAAGGACGACCTAAATTATTATATATTTTTGGAAGAATTGACAAAGGACGAGCTAAATTTTCTCTCTAAGGCAATATGAATTAACCTTTATGTGTATGCCATAGAATTATCGGGTGTAATCAGTACAAGAAAACCAGTTGCCATCAAGATCCACCAAATCATTAGGTGTCGGTATCGGATTAGAACTCTTCTAGATGAATGATCAACTCCTTAACCATTTACCGATGAAATGCAGATTCTGTTAGTGCCTTGAACACTGTCCATGGAATGCCTCGTAGGTTGCAATGAATCTCTCATGTTGGTCTGTGATACCTATTCCCTACTCAACCTTGTCTTTCAGAAGATCCAAAGTTGACAACATTAACGGTTCAAAATCGAGATGATGTAAATCGGTTACTATTCGGTGATTAGCAACTATTTTAAAGCATAGAATAACTAAATAAGTACTACAAATATTATTTTGTGCCTTGAAATGATTGAATCTCTAGTCAACATTGGAATATAGTTTAGATAGAGGAATTATATAATGCGACATGGTTAGTAAAAGCTATGCTGTTATATCGGTCAGAATACGAAATATCGGTCAGGACCGATATTCGATATATCGGTTATATCGGTGATATATCG